GGTCTGTTCTCTACTCTGTTGGCCATTTTAGTTAGCTTCTGCTGCTATTTGTATCTGTATTTCTATTTTATGTTTTCCTGTCTGCTGTGCATGTTTGGTTCTTTTGTACAGCACTTTGGATGGCCTTGTTGCTGTTTTAAGTGCTATATAAATAAATTGGTATTGGTATTGGTATATAAGTTTGATCTATTTAACTTTTTTTTATTCCCTGAAACATTAACAGAAAGATGATATATCCAAACATTTAAAATAAAAACCATTTCTTACAAAGTTATAGATACTATTTTTACTTGTCATTCACAATGTCATGAAGCTAGATTATATATATATATATATATGTTTAATTTTTTTTTCTTCTATATTTGGGTGGGAGCTTGAGTACATAATTTGATTCCACCTCATGTACTACATGTGATGCAAATGACACAAAAGAAACTTGAACATGAGCCATCAAAATACGTTTAACATGTTCAAGTATTCTAAAAATAAATGTAAAAAAACCTGCGAGAGTTTTGTATTTTAATTCAGCTATACTTTGTTTACAACACAATCTGAGAGGTCTGTAAAGAACACTAATACAAACTATGTACAATGAACTCATGACTAATGTCAGCATTAGATTATGTAGAAAATGATTTAACTTCTGAAATATTTCTCAAATGATTAAAAAATATATAATGAAATTTAGATTTTAAAAATTTAGATTTCCGTCTGAAATTACACAAATGTAAATTAATACCATGCTATTATTGGTATACTCTATTACCATGTATACTTGTATTAAGTATGTGTATATGATGTAATCAGAGGATAAGAAACTACATGCTTATATGCAATATTATAATAGTTTACATTGTGTTTTTGAATTTCTTTTAATATTGGAAATGTATAGAGATTTTAAAATAATGGGCCAAAAAGTGACACCGGAGCATCTTAACCTCTGCTCTGATTATATTGTTTAGGTGAAAACATGTTGTTGAATGCATTTAGTAGTCTTGAGGTACCTGTCATGCAGGCTCGGGACCCGCAGGTCCCAGGTTTGATCCCTGGTCACTGCATACCTCATGGTGTCTCTGGGCAGCACACCTCATCCCCAAAATCCCCCCCCCACCCCCCCGCACTTTCAATAGCTGCCCACTGCACCACCTGGTGGTGGATGGGTTAAATGCAGAGACTAATTTCTCCATTGTATAGAAACATACAGTGCTGAGAATGTGATGACATTCCATCCATCCATCCATCATCTTTACCCGTTTATTCCATTTTGGGTCATGGGGGTCGCTGGTGCCCATGTCCAGCAATCACTGTGCGAGGGGCGGGGTACACCCTGGACGGGTCGCAAGTCCATCACAGGGACTGTGATGACATTATTATTACTATTATTATTTGATTGTGTGTGTGATGGTATGTTTTTTTTTTTTGTTTGTGTGTGTGTGTGTGTGTGTGTAAAGACACTCACTTGATTTTATGATAGATGTTTTTACTGAATGATTGTTCCTATACACGTTGGTGTTTGTAACAGATTTTGTTTATTTGTTTTTCTTGGGTTTGTCACAGTGACAAAGTGGTTAATGACATTAAGCTGTGAGGTTTAGTGATTATTAACCAGATCAACTATGCTAGAGTTCTATCTTTAGAAGTAAAAAAAAAAAAGCTAGATGTGCTTTTGTGATGGATCTGACAGTCGTGCACATGTGCCTTGCGTGTTGAATATTTAATAGCAAGAGGTGAATGTTTTGCACATAATGAGACAGATTATTTCCAACAGATACTGAATGTGTTGTAAACCTCCTCTGTGCATGTAATGCACAATTACATTGTTATACGTTTGTTCTT